AACTTGAACATTTTGGCTGTTGAATAGAAAAAAAAGAAAAAGTTTAATAAAGTATTTGTATTTGTGTGGTGAAGCTATATAAAATGTGTTATGTTCTTACTTACATATCAGTAAAGGCTATAATATGGATCAAACCGAATGAAGGTTTTGCACGCTGTTTTTATAGTCAAACTAATATACTGTGTTTGAACAGCTTTGTCTTCGCAATTCATTATTCGTTCTTGAAAAAGAGAAGAGCCAAAATGTTACTTGGTCAATAGTAATATTTAGTATTTTGGCGCTTACACTTTTGCTGGGTGTTTGGCCTAGGTTGTGCTCCCATTTGTGGTGTGCATACTGATGTTATAACAAGAAATGAAGAGAATTACAATTTTACACCATCTCCGACCGGTAAATAGTTAAAAAAAAATAAACCCTTTTTCTAATTTAGAAGTTTCACGGACCAGGAATCGAACCCAGGTCATACGGAGCGGTAGTACGATCCTCTAACCACTCAGCTCAGTAGTTTCCTCTCCGAATATTGTCAAAATTTAAATAAGTATGTGCAAATGTATGTGAAAGAGTTCAATAGAAGAGTAAAAAGCTTATAATAATAGTTTCTTCGAGAGCAGCTTATCTTAAGCTAATAAATAAACTCACCAAGCCATTCTTGTCTGATGGATCATAGCGCTTAACAGCGTGAATATTTAAGAAAGAAGAGAGTGGAATACGAAAACAACCTGTTTTTTTTTCTAAATATTAAAAAACTTTATGTGGAAGAGTACAAGTATGAAGAGCAAAAAACTTTCAACAATAATAAACTTTCGACGCTATAAATAAAAGCTCCGCTAGGGTACGCTACCCGGCAACCTTCGTCTCGCCGAAAGCTAATTTTTTGAGGGAACATTTTGGTACAATACTTTCACCAATTATTCACTTAAAGACTTCCAGTGGCACATCTATCTGCTTTTATGGTTTTATGGTTTTGTGGTCGTCAGAAGGCATATCTTCCATTGCCATTTTAAATAGCCTAACCAAAGCATTATGTCCATGACGAAGTTCTGAGTTTCGCCCGCAATATTCATCCGCCCGTAGTGAAACGAAAAGTAAAAAGTGAACCTGTTCGCGCAAAATGAAACTCATGATAAGGTTGATTTTGTATTTTTAAACAAAATGCCATCATACATTTTTCATATCCGGCACCTATAAATGGAACCGGTTATAATTTGCAACACAATCTAACCTAACCTAACCAACATAATTATTTAGCAGTGATAAAATTTTGAACCTGGGCAACCATTTCAATTTTAATATGTATACGATCAAAATTAAGGAAATAAAAAATTTCGAGTACAAAATTTATGGAAAATCAAAAATTGTTTCCAATTTTCCTTGGTAGGAGACAAACACAACAAAAGACAGCTCACATAGGACAATCCATTCTAGTGCTATGCTCGGTATTACGTAAGCAACTTTGTTTAACTTAATTTCCAAATTAATCTTCATCTTTATTATCAACTTCATTATTATCTTTATCTTAATCTTAATTTATAGCTTAATCTTAAGCTAAATCCTAATCATATACTTAATCCTAATATTTATGCTTAATTTTAATCTTAATCTTGATCTTATCTTAATCTAATCTCCATCTTAGTCTCAACCTTAACCTTAATCCTAATCGTAATCTTATCTTAATCTAATCTTAATTTTAATATTAATCTTTATCTCGATCTTAATATTAATCTTAATCATAATCTTAGTTTTAATCGTCATCTAAATCTTAATATTAATCTTAATCCCAATCTCAATTTTTGATCAACTTCAATCTGACTCTTAATTGATTTATCTTAATCTTAATTAAAATCTTAATCTTATTCAATAGAAAGTATAAAGTTATCTGACAAGATCAAATACTTTGGTTTGGTCCTTGACAAAAAATTGTCGGGGAGCCCAAATTTCGAGAAGAGGCAAGGAGAGCATCAGTGGCCTTATACTGCTGTAGAGGAGCTATTGGAAAGAGGTGGTGTGTTTTGCCCAAAGCTGTATATTCGCTCTACGAGACCTATTATGTTTTATGGCGCCCTAGTTTGGTGGAACTCACTGTAAGGTGATCTTGAAATGTTATCGCCGGATAGAGGGCGGCTGGGTGTACCATTGATCATATGTTGTGTACACTTCGAGAGATGAGCCCCATGTCAATTCAGTGAGCGCTGAGCGAAAACTAGGACGTGCAAGGTCATTCTGGTTGTCGGTAGACAGGGGGCGGTCGAGGGCACTCCTCACCCCTACACAGCCTCGGCTGTCACTCTTGACGGGGATTTTGACGTGTCACTGACCAATCGGTATTCACGCAATAAGGCTGAACTTATTGACTGATGCCGTATATCACAATTGTCCGGAAGATGATGAGGTGATACTACACTACACTACTGATCGACAGTACCTTCTTAAGTGCCTAGCGTTTGCGAGGCTAAGATTGAAGTACTTTGGCTATTTTTAATAGCCCCGAGGAGCTCTGGGGGCATAAAGATCAGCTTCGTAATTACATAGTAATAGGGTGGAGGTATTTTATCGATTAAGCATTGGGTGCCGGACAGCATGTGGTATCATAAAGGACAGTATCCTAATTGTCTAGGTGAGTCCCTGACGTATGGGGCTGCCACCTAACCTAACTTAACTGTAAGATTTTTAATCGAAAAGTGAAAACTTTAAGCAAAACTTCTTAGGCTGAACCTATTTTGGTTGTGCCCCTAAACAAAAGCACGGAATCTACACCATGGTATCTTTTGCCAGCTACCTTTTAAAGCTCTTGGAGCCGGCTTTCAAAAAGCAAGCTCTTTATTTAGAACACATTTGCGAATTACTAAAGTAGCTTGTTTACTTTAATATTTACCGATTTTTTGGTTTTCTCGGGCTATTCTCTAAGCTCCCACTTTTATGTTGATTCAGTTCAATGCCCCTCTCACTTTTTAATTGCACTTTAACCGTAACGTGACTTTAGGATACAAAATTAAACCAACACAAATTAGTAAACTCTTATTTGTTGCTTATACGAGTACTCGTAAAAAGTTTATTCTTAGAGAAAAAAAATATGAACTTCCAACGAGAAAATGTATTTGCGCGCAATTAGGCGACTGGTGCGAAACCAATACGATTGTTGCCCATATCGAACTCGGAATAGTAGAGACCAAGGAAAATATCACCCAAAATCCAGAAATCAGTTCCAATGTAGCTGATGGCAGAGTAGCAAGTCTCTGAATCCTCCTGAATTATGTATTGTGATGCTGGCACAGCGAAACTCTTACCACTTATAACAAATTCTATGTCACCCAGAGAGCTGATGAGCGAGCAATCGACGTAACCATCGCTGTCGCTATTAACAATGTTAGCGAATTTATTGTAGGCACTTAAGGGAGCAATAATGAGCGAGGTGCCTGTGTCGGCGATGGCTTGGCAACCGTTACTGCAAAGGGTCTTACCACCAAGGGTGGCTCCGCCCAAGCTAAATTGCCAATAGCCTTGCTCTGAGACCGGCACGTAGGTGAGTGACCCCTTGTAGTAGCTGGAATCGGAGCCGCCTAAGATCAATTCACCACCTTTGCTGGAACTAGTATCGCGTGCCAAGTAGAAAGAGAATACATTCTTGCTCACCAGACCTTGTG